ATAAATATATAATCATAAAAATTTGAAATAAAAAGATCTATGATAAAATCCATTGAAATGGAAGACCATGGTTATTTGAGTATATGTGATGGCTGAAAAAGTCCATAAGGTTGATGATAAGAAGTTTTTGCTCTTGAACAAAAATCATATGATTGTACAAATTTTTTGACTACATTCCACATGTAAGGCCACCAAAAATTTCTAGATATTAGTTCCAAAATCTTGTTGTATCTCAAATGTTTTGTATCTAGAAAAATTATAATGGACTTGAAGAACACATAGTTGTGCTTCACCTTTTAAAACATATAAGTGTCCATTAAAATTGAGTAGTTTTTTTTAAAATTAAAACTTATAAGTATCATAAAATTTAGATGAATTATTTTCAATGTTATACAAAAGAAAATTTAAGGACGTATTTGATTAAAATTGCTTAAGAAAAGTTGAATCAATAATCAATATTAATTTTATTTCTTAAAGATGATATTCTTCTAGCCTTAAAAGCATCATTTCTCATTGATCCAAAGATGAGTCTTCTTCTTTTGGTACAAAATAAGAACATCTAGAAAAGGCATTTAATAAGTTGTTGTTTATATTACAAGTATATGCTTTTGAATTCAAAGCTTGACAAAGACATGCTCCAATAAGCTTGGAAACAATATAAAATAGGTATTGACACAAAATACTCAAGATTCTTATAATTCGTATACATGGTGATTGGACTAGTAATAAATTTTTTTGAAATGAATCCACAATTGTAAAAATAAATTTGTAGTGGATCTTATAGTTGATTATGGCTATTGAAAAAAATTAATTAAAAACTACTAAATAAATTTTATCATCTATTCTTATCTATGATAATATTGCACCTATTTTTTTATAAAAAAATACTTTATAAAATTCAACTTAATACAAGATTGATGCAAAAGAAAAAAATATATATTTAAAGCTTAAAATGATATTTCTACTTCTTCATTTTAATCAAATTTATCTTTACAAGTCAAATATACAAGATTATCATTTGAAATAATGTATTTAAAGAAATCAACTTGACTTGTATAAAATAAAAACTTCTCCATCCTAGCATATAGTCTTGCATTACGAAGTTTTTGTAACATACAACAAATATGAAGTTCATGCTCTTTTGTATTCTTAGAGTAGATTAAAATGTTATTTAGATAAAAAAAATTTAAAAAATCATCTAAAAACTTTCAAAATATATCATGCATTAGATATTGAAAAGCAACATGTGTATTTACAAGTGCAAATGATATGACATTATATTCAAATGCTCATACCTAGTTTAAAACACAATCTTCTACAGTCTCTTTTTTTAATGCCTACTAAATAGTATGATCCTTGTAGATCTATTTTGATATAAATCTTTGCTTGATTCAATTAATTAAAAAAATATTAAAATAAAAAATAGATAATACTTATTTTTAATAGTGATTTTATTAAATCTTTGATAACCCACACACATTGGTAGTAATCTATCTTTATTCTTCACAAATGAGATGGAAACTTTTAGTAGAGATTTTGAATGGTGTTTAAAATTCTTAGCTAGGTTCTTTTCAATGTAGCCATTTTATTATGTAATAAGCTATTGATTTGTCCAAATGGAAATTGAACTCCTTCTTGAAGATTAATTGAAAAATCCTAAGAACAATGCTTTGGAAGAATATATACATTTTTCTTCTCAAAAAATTCTTAACAATCTTGATATTGGCTTAGAATGCACTTCAAATTCTTTTTGTTATCAAAAATAGATGTGGAATAAATAGTAAAAGATGACTATTATTTTGCAACATGCATGAAAGCTCTTGTATTTACTATTAAAGATTTGGTTGTATAAAACTTATGACTTCTTACTTTGATAATAGAATTTTGGATAAAATTACAAAAACAATGAAAGTTACAAAAAATCTAATTAATTTGAGGATTATACTTTTTTATCCATAATAATTTTTAAATAATTAGATTATAAAAGAGAGCTAATAATATTAAATATTATTAAGCTATTATATCTATTAGCTACTATATACAATAAAAAAGTTTCATGGTAACATCCCCAAAAATATATAAACAATCATCTATGACTTCTACATGTATGGACTTAGCATTCACGATTAAAAATAAATTGTATATTTCAAAAAAGTCTTTGTCTATAAAACAAGTTGAAGCTCTTAATTCTAATAGGACAAAGACTTTGAAATTTTTTGGTCATAAACAAACATCTATTATAAAATAAGATAAAGAATGTAAAAAAGAAATAGGACCTTTAGTGGATATTGTATAAGATTTTAGCCGCACAATGTCTTTTGTAGCTAGGCAAACTTGTTTTTTAATACATCATCTTCTTTATCAACCATGTTCTTTATTTGTGATTGTGTTTTTTCTTCAAATTATGTTCACTAATGTGCTTAAGTTCTCCACAATATAAGGACAATTTTTCTTATCAATGTTGAGTCTTTAATTATTTAGTGAGAGGTTTAAAAAGTTCCATATCAATTTGCATAGGTTTTAGCCTTGATATCAAAATTTCTAAAAATTTAGATGTTTTTGTCATAACTTGATTTATTCTTCTTCAACCAATTTTTTGTTCTTAGCATCTTTCAAAAAGTCAATTGTTGCATGCAATGGCTTGAGCAATAAATTATTTCAATTAATTTGCTCTCCACATTGTCAATAATAAATCTTTGAGATTATCTTTTAATCCATATTAAAATTGATTGATAAGGATTTTGTCATTTTGATCTACATTGCAAATAAAGTTTTAAGAATTTAACAACATATATGGTGGCTAAATGTGACCTTTATTGTCAACATAGAATTTTGATATTTTTTATTCTTTTTTTATCACTTTTTTTTGAATGTGGCTACAAATACTTCTAAGAATGAATTTAAAATACAGAGGAGTTGTAAATCCATTCCAATCAAAGGTGCAAACCAAATGAGAGCACTTCCAAAAAATAGTACAACTATGAATCCAACTAAAGTAAATCTATCTAGGTATTGGAAATGATGCAACTTTAAATATAGCTTCACTTGTAATCAAAATCTTTAAAATTTTGATCTCATTTTTTCAAACTTCTCTTATATATTGATCTTTGTTTCTCTTTCTTATTTATAGTAGTAAAACTTCTCGGATTCAATTGTAAAATTGATCTACTTGCTTTGCTTAAGTCCACAACTTATTAGCATAGACATTGAACTTCATTATTGATTTCTTCTATAGGCCTAAGAATAATACTTTTATGGTTAATATTAGAAATACATGAAGTTTCTACCCTAAAAGTATTGACAAGCTTATAAATATTTGTAATAGTTATAAATCTATTTTTACTTTTGTCAAATAAAACATCCATAGATTTTTTATTTTTTATTTTTTATTTTTATATCTTCAAAAATATAATAAAAGCAATAGGATAATCTTTTCACTTCTAAAAAAATAGAAATGATGAATTAGGATTCTTGTCAAATTCTCAAGTATTCAAATTATAAACAATAAAACACTTAATACATTCTTTTTTTTACTCCAAAAAGATGAAAAATCACTTATAGATGGTATAATATTGAAACTAGATTGGCTATTGCAAAAGATAAGAAGATTAGAGACTTTTAGAACAAGACTAAGAACAAGAAACACATTGACTAGAACGCAGAAGGCTTCACTCATGCTTCCATATATATTCTATAATTATGAATTATATGACAACATTCTATAGGACTTCCAATATGTATCCAACTTGTGAGACATGTGTCTAATTTACAAGACAAGGTTCTAATATGTCCACCATATGACCAATATGTGTAATATATGGACAACTTGTTGGCCAAATTATAATCTATCAATCAACTATTAATATATATAAAGCCAAATCTGTATCTATAAAGCTTCAAAGAAGCTTTTCTACAATATATTATTAAAACTACCTTCATTAACCTTCTACCTAATACTTCTTATCTAAGTTATTATATATGTTGGTGACAAGTATAGCCAAGATTAAGAGATAAATCTCAAATACCTCCAAATTATGTTATCATGTATCAAATGTCAATCCGCAATATGTAATTATATATAATTAAGGATGTACTACTTTCTACAAGACATACTACAAAATAAAATAAATTACATATTAAGATGTATTATAAAGTGGTGTATGTGAGCAAACTTAATTAATCTCAATAGTAATAAATTCAAGAAAATAGGATATATAAACAAATTAAAATAAAAACATATATATTATTATAATATACACCATAAGAATAAAAATATATATCAAAGAAGGACAAAAATCAAAGTTTTTTCAATATAACACAAAGGTGTCATCTTATTATAATGTTTTTGTAATACTTATAACAATTTGTTAAAAAAATGAGATTATCTAACAAAATTGCCTTCTTTAGAAAAACAAAGAAAAATTTGACATAAAATAAGTACATTGATTGATGCCTAAGAAATAAGACAATAAGAATTTTATAGATAAATCAATAAAAAATAAAACAAAAAAAATTAAAATTTCATCATTTCTTTTCATTTGAGATGCCAAGAATCACATTAATAATACATAGGAGCAAAAAATTATGGTTCATTGAAGAATATTGATTATTGTTGAAATGCATAAAAATAATAAATATATTCTTCAATATCAGTTGATTATGTAATTTATCTTTGTAGAATGCCCTAAACTATATGTTTCTAAACCATTACATTTTGTAGAAGGTTTTACATGTTTGTTTTAACCAAATTTATTCTAATACTATGGTAGTATTTTTAGAATCCAATACAACCTTTTACAATTTCAACCTCTCCAATCTTTGAAGTACATCTTGGTGTTGTAGTGACTTGAATGAATGATTATTGCAATTTGCATTTCAAAAATATACCGACAACAAAAGATAGCAAAGATATTATAAATATCATTATTACATGATGTTCAAACAAACACACAATAAACATAACCTAAAACACAGATTAAAGTTCACATCCACAACTGATGCAAGATATGAAAATATAGTAAATGAAACCATGCATAGATGGAGTGAGTTGTTTGCATGGCAATGAAGGATCATCTTAAAAACCACTAACTGCCTTTGTGGTCATGCTACGGAATTGTGCACTTTTCTTGTGCTTGGGGGTCACGCATGATGAAATAACGTGAAGTGTGAGAAATTGTTATACTTGGTACAATCACCATCTCTTTCTTCTTTCTTCTACCAAGCAGGTTGTACACTTGGCTTCTGCCGGCAATGCCATAATTAGCATGTGGCTAACTTGCATAGAAGTTTGTATAGGTGCAGAAGACACTGAACTTCTACGCCAACTCGTCATCCCGTGATGAATCTGAGCTGTCTTGTCATGTCCCCGCGAGATGGACGGTGCTTCGATGCAGTCTCTTCTACACTCGACGGCTCCAAACTGGCTTTTGTAATCTGCTTCGTCTCCGTGTCTGTGCTCTGCCAGTTCACTGTTCGACTTGATGATCACGGTTCGCCCTTACACAGCTCCTGTCGAGCCACGCCCAGAAGCTTTGCGCCCGGTTTCGCTGGCTGGCTGGTAATTTGAGATTCCCTGCTGCGAGGTGTGCACGACGACTCCTACATTCCATGAACTGTCGGTGGAAGACTCCTGTCCATGTGGATAGTAGCGAAACGCAAGATTTGGATGGGTCAGGAACGCCGCGAAAGGTCCAATGCTTTGTTGAGTCGGAACTTTCCAATATTGAGAATTCGATGATACCGTTCGCAGGTGAGAACAGTTTAGTCGTTCCCCTGCAACTGCGGAGGGCTGTTGAGCCCTCAACTGCGGCGTGGTGGTGATCAAATGGGGCTTAAATACGAACAAAGACTCCTCCACCGCTGGATGATGAGGAGCTAGACAGCGTAGGAACTCATGCAAACAACAATCACGAAGGCGTAGGTGCCACACCTCCTCTGAAAATGGCAACGCATCTTGCACGCACTGGTCTGATATTACAAGTCAGAAACTCTGACCACTCTCACATTCCAGCTATTGATATTGGTCTAAAAAAACCGTATCAACCGCTAATATATATCGACTTTGAACTCCATTACTGCAGCGGTGAAGACTCGGGCTGCGAAGACCGACCCATGCGACCTCAAACGTCCTTCATCCGTCCGCCTGCCGAAGTACGTCTGTCGGACTGGCTACCTGGAGCACCGCTATCAGTGCCGGCATTGACTTTGCCCTGCACGTTAGTGTTTCCATGTGCACTCCCAGGCGCACCGCCATTGCTAGTCATGCGACTCGGACCAGTAGTTTCGGTAGACGCGAATCCCGTTAATGGTGTACCCTCGTCTTAATCTCAGTGAAACACCTGTGCAGGATCGCCGCTGGTGCGTCCCAGCTTCCCAGAACGGGGATCTACTCCATTCGAAGCATCACCTTTCTTCTTATTCTTTTTCGTTATACGGTTCACACACGACTTCTTCAATTTTTTAAGTTTCTGCTTCCAAGTTTCATTGCTCCCAGGGGGCTTTTCTGGGTGTTGCAATGGCAATTTGGAATCAGGCCGTTGAACGTTTGCACCAATGATGAGTGTCTTGTCCACATTGGCCACAACTGTTTCATCCTGAGGGCCACTCAAGGAAAGCGAGACTTGGCTTCCAGAATCCCGTACTCCTGGCGTTGCACCTGCACCTTCGAACTGCTCAGGTCGATTCAATTGCAGATTATCCACTAAATTCGACGAAATGTTCATGGGCTCAAGCCGACCTTCTCTGGGTGCGTCTATCACTCGGGTTACCTCCGGGGCCCTCCGCTCTGGCCGTTCATGTCGGTGCGCACCATTTTCGTCAACTTCAGGTGATTTGGGTTTGATCGTTGTTGCGTTAATGTCCTGCGAAGGCACCGACGGTCCTGGACGACAAATGGCGATGGCACCAACGGGATACCATTCAGAGGGCATGTCAACAATCTCACGCTTCCCACGAGCCTCTCTAGTGGCAGCCTGTGGCTGTTCTATCTCTGCCGTTTCGTTGCCGTGCTTTGCTTTCCTTCCCTTGCCTGGTTTCATAATATACGACCTCCACGGCACCCTTTTTAAGTCTGTATAACTGCTAGACCTCCTCAACTTCGACGTCGTAGCAGCGGAGGGTGACTCGTAACCAACAGCTGCATTACTGGCCATAATCTCCAATGGGACAGTCCGCGCCATAGCCTGCACCACAGGGAAAAACTGGCTTTACGATGAAGAAGACTATCGACCTACTCCCGGATGGTTAGGGCAAAGAAAGAGAAATCCACTTCAGATGAACCAATCGCCGACAGGACACGCAATAAATGGAGGAAGTTCGTGCGGGAAAAACAGCCCGCTGCGGTTGCACCGACGAAGTGGTAAATGACAGAACTGATCGGCAACTCGTCTGGCCCTCAGCAATCTACAGCGGTTTACAAATTTCGAGTAACAGCTGCAGTACCTCAGTCTCAGCCTCGGCCTCGGCCCCAGCATTGCTCGGGCGTGGTTCGTCAACCGTATGAAGGGGGTCAGAGTGTTTCATGGTGATGGCGAATCGTAAGCGGCCTGGTATTGGATCGTTGCAAACGAAGGGCTCATCAAATTTATGGTAGGGATTTTTTTTATACTCATTGACAGCAACGACGACGAACCTGAGCAACAGCAAAGCAAATACATCACTTTGCAGTTCCATGCCGAACTAGGAATGCTTCGGAACGGGACAAAACATCAAGTTTACGAATGAACCATTATATTCAGGGTACACAAACAAAAACAACTTCGCTAGCGCCTAGCACGAAGATCGGACATCGTGCAAATCAAGGCGCTGTTTCAGCATTCGAAGAAGTTCGCCGTCCACTCACAATCTGAATAAAGGCCGATACAGGACCCATGAACGAAAACATAAGGTGGACAAACCTCCTACTTGTTTGATTGTCGAGGTTCATGTTGTCAGGTGTGAGATTTGACAAAATGTATGATACATACTCGCAGCCTCCCAAACCCCACCGACTCTTTGAATAGATTCTACATCCACGATAAGCTTCAGTTAGGCAGAGAAGGAAACATACCCAAGCTCCGTGGAAGGTTCAATCACGTTTTTCACTTTCAAAACTAGAAAATTTGACCTGCCCCAGCTTTCGATGAAGAATTCATGTTCTTCCTTTTCCCACGTTGGATTTAGTGTTTGGTGGCTAACTCCAGTTTTCCTTTCCTGGTGGGTCCCAAATTGCACGACCACGATCGGGTAAGGAAGCTCTGTGGACAACTCACAATAAGGTCACAGGGGTAAAGCAAAACGATGGAGCGTTTTCCACGTGTCCACCCGGTTTTTCTTAATGGAAATTGTCAAAGAATGTAACTCAAATGGACGGTGCACTTGAAAGGCCATACGCAACACTAAAACTTCAAGTGTAACATACAAACATGGATTCTCATAACCGTCCAGTCGTTTGTAAGACCTCAAACCACGTCTATGCTGGAGGACACGCCTGGAAAACTACTACTTTTAATCACCGACGACTACAAAATGGAAGTTAAGCAAATACACAGAGATACTCACTATTCCCGTCAGAGACCTTGAGATTTGTAGCGCCGAAGATTTCCACCATAAAAGCGGCCTTATTCCCTTCTCTGGAAATCCCTGCTGCACCTGCCAGATGCAATGTAACATCGATTTCCTTCATGTCAGAAACAGCCTCCTCTTAGAAGACTCTCAGACAATGCAGTGTTCCTAAGAGGTGCTTTTGAAGGGTGGAACCTCATGGTAATCATGAGTAGTCCCTCCACGATTTGGGTACTAAGTGCTAAGACACCCGAATGAATACCTACGCAAAGCGTTACAATCCCAAAATCCATAGAACACTTGAAGACAGTCTTCTCGTTGATTTAGTGTGGATTATGTCAGCACTTTTTCAACAATTTGTAACGCAATAACCTTGGGCAAATGTGCAGCCAGTTCCATCGTGAGGCTTACTTTCTTACATTGTTGAATCAGAAAAGAACTTCCCTGCTATTGCATCGACGTCCACCTCTAAGTAGTTCGGCTGCACAGGTGCGAGTAGTATTAAAGTGAGTTCACGACTTTTGAAGAACGACTGCAAGACATGATTACTGTGCCGTACGAAACGGTCGTGTCTCATATTGCTGAAAATTGGACACTGAGTAAGCGTTGAGGGACAGATACAAATACAGAAGACGCTAGAGCAAAACAAATAGAAGACAGAACAGCTGCACATGCCCAAGGCTGAATTGCTACAAAGAAAAACCCATTGATACGAGCTGCATCAAAAGTGAAAAGTTGCTGCAAGCGTGAAACATAAGAAGTTGTGGTTCACCTCAACAAAGCAATCCTCCAATACCTTACGCAGCACCCTATCCTGATGAACCAGTCCAAAAATCGCTGAGGGTTCTTCAATTCGAGTACTCTCCTTGACCCAAATTACCAATGATAATTGACTTTGCGCTTGCACAACATTGTGTTGAACCAGGATTTACCAAAACCTCAGGAATGTAGTATCAAAGGAGGGTAACGTGTGAATGTTTGCACAAGAATCGAAACACGCAGACAGGATACGTAACCTGTGAACTTACCACTCGCTGCTTTACATAGCCATTCCTCACGTCACGAAGGAACTTAAACCCATATTTCACGTCTACAGTTTCAGGCTTAGTTTTGAAGCAGAAGCGCACTTGCTTGACAAATGGCCAACCTTTCAGAAACTTCGCTGATATCCTGACCTGCAATCTCGCACAGCTATGACTTGTTAAAGCGTTTGGACAAACTCTGAACACGAATGGTCCCATTATTAAAATGAGTTATGCTACTCTTGCAAGGTATAATGTTCTTTCAGTACCGCCAAGAGGCTGCCAAACTCAGACTTTGTACAGGATCAAATCTGAAAGTTTGAGAAAAGAATTTGGTCGCCAGTTGACAGCACAAGCTGCCTTCATGATAACACCTAAAACAGGACTATGATTGCAGGTCTGATTCCTCATCTCATTTTTTTTGCGAGCGGAACAAAAGAAGTTGGTGCAGAAGCAGCATGCCAATACAAGACAAGGGGAACATTGTGCCATGATTACTGTCGAACACGGAGATGGTCAAGAACCATTACACACCGTTCCCTCAATTCGCAGACCTGAGATGTAGATATTGTACGTCCCTAAAAAATTCAGAACTACCTTCATCTGAGCAGTCATGCGCTCATCGGCATGGAATACCATCCTTGCCTCGTATGCCTATTCAAGCAGATCAAGATGTTAGTGAACGGATGGATTTCATGACAAAACCGAATAAGTCGTCCTGAGTCTCCGTGTTCGGTGCAGCACGCACGCAAACCACTACGAATCAAAGATCAGGCCAATTGCAGTGGAAGCTCACCACATCATAACCATCCATAGATTGCTCAAGCGTCTGAATGCAATAGAACTCTGGTGGCGTGTTTCCAAGGCACAAAGTGCTGACATCTATCGTCGCTTCCTGCCACATGCGGATGTTTGTCCGAACATTACCCAATCACATCAGAGTTTCGGTTGAACGACTACCTTGAGACTTGTTCAGAAGCAAAGGCAACAACCTATAAGCTCTTTTAGGCCTTCACCTGCATACTAACCCAATTGCTGGCGCTCTGAGAAGCCAAGCAACAACAGACTGTCTAGCATTGGCTGAAGAGGGATACCATATGTTATACCGATTGTAGCAACTTGATTAGTATGCTATTCTCAACGAGCTGAAATGATTCATGAGAAGCTACAGAAGTAACAGAACCGAGCATATCTAAAACATCTTGAACGATGTCACACAATTTCATATCACATAATCGTCAATATCAACAGAGGCAGTAGCTAAAGGAACCAGCACTTCTTTTCTAAGAACTTTGAAAAACATCGCAGTTGGATGGCAAAGACACTGCGTATGCAAAAAGGCCTGCGCATCTCTTTGAGGCGCACGCATCCTCCCTCTCTCTCGCGCTCTCTACATCCTCCTGTCCCATCACGATGAAAGCATAGAAGTTACAGACATTGTGTTTAGTGCAGTGTTTCTTTCACGCAGGCGATCGACAATGTGCTTTCTGCGACATGACGTTGAGGGTTACATACCACCAACCCCGACCCCCGAGGCTTGTATTTATCTAGAAACGTCGAAGCCATTGGACCAAAAAAATAAGTTGATGCAAACTCCGTGCTCATCGGCCATATTCTCTTCATGCCCTCGTTTAGCCATCTTAATGACTCTCCCTCCTCACATGTCTGCAGCAGCCAAATATGATTACGGAAAAGATTGTCAAAATGTCCGAAGATGGATGCGAACCAGAATAGAATTCTTGGACTAAGCCAAGCTCAGATGACTGCTGACTTCCTCACAAGGACTGTTTTTTACATCGCCGTTCAAGGGGATTGACATTGTACCCGTTTTTTATTGACCCTGCTCCGCTCTGCGTCATCCATTCGACTTCGTTCTTCCGCCCGGTATCGTACTTCTTCCTAACTCATGGACGATGACACGGCACACATGTCAAACAGTGTAACCTGTGGATGTAAGCCAAGGTCTCCTTGGAAATGAGCAAGAACCCAATATGAGCCTACGAAGGGGCGTCAAGACCATAAACACGGATGAAAGCAAGTGAAACAGCAACATTCTCTCGTGCCCCAATTGAGGTGTATTCTCTCGTGCCCCAATTCAGATGTGTTCTCTCGTACCAAGAAATCTATCACAGTTGCCTGAATACAATCATAAGCCATCTATCAGGTGGTGTGGTCAGAAACACGTATTTTCATCTACGTCGAAGGTGCCACCTACAACTGGAAAGACTCGGCACTCTATTCAGATTTGCCAATTCTCGCTCGCACGTTGGGAAATCGTTCAGCCCCCAATCAAATCAAACTCCATGCAAGTTTGGGTAAGTTCGGTAATATGGGTATCAGAACCTCCCTTGCATTAATAACCTTAAAATCAGGCACCCCCAACAACTTATAGTTGCATCAACTATTGGTTACGACCCCTACAGCAGCCCATGGTACCCGGGGAAGATTGATGTGCTCAAGTTCCAAGAATTACATTAGCAGGATATTTGCATAAACAATTTTTGGGCTCATAAACGTGTCAAGAACAGCATCCTTTTCGTACTGTGCCCATAGATACAAACGTCACGCACTTGCATAATCATCCAGACAAGCTTCTGATAGGATACACGAATTTGCACCTTGATGACGAGGACGATGAAGCTGCACAAACAGATGAATCCTAATAGGCTGACAGGCAAGAACAGCCACGTGGTGACGACCACCAGCACCAGGAACAATAAGAAACGAGCCGCGCCCATGGCATTTGCTGGCTCAGACTTCTTTTCGGTCTCCGCTGAGTTCACCATGCCTCCTGATGCCTTAGCCCAAGCTCCTAACTCAACGCATCCCCTCTCTAAGTTCCTCCAACCCCAATTCCACCACCTTGTACCACCATTCCCGCCACCGCCTTCAATACAACAGTTCCTGCTTGTGTTTAACTGCCAACCTTGGAACTAGAATGCGCCGATATTTCAGATTGCACCCAAGCATGGACAGAGTCTACTCGGGCTATGGAGTTAAATGAGGGATGCGACGTACCCTGGACTACTGTACATCATTCCCACACCAAAGTGTTGGGATCGTCAGAGAGGAGGAATAGAGCCTTCTACCAAGTTCTGGACCGCGGTTTCCCACCGTAAATGACGAGATCTCTAGAGTTTGATTGCTTAACACACCAAACTAAAAACAAATCCATGACAAGCCAAGCCCAAGAGGATCACTTTCGCGAGTTACTGTACACTTGGTACAGGCAGATGTTTTGAACTTGTTGAATGCCTATCCAAACGTGGCGGGCAACCTTGATGATGTTCTTGCCATTGCAACACACCAGGATGTTCAGGCTGGCTGTTACGCCATGCAAGCACGGAAAAGACGACGCAGTACTCAAGGAATGATGATGGGAGGCAAAAGTAGCGACTTCCAAACTCAGAGAAGGTTATTCTCTCACTCTTCTTCTCCACAGAGATCGCTCCAAAAAAATTATATAGACATAACCATAGAAAAATATATCCACTGATCTGGCACCCGCACGAGAATAATCAGCTTGACTCCATAACAAAGATCATGCATAGAGTACCTACAAAGCGTGTAGGAGAAAGCTTGAACATCGCTTCAAATGGCAACCTCAAAACTGCTAGGGGGCTGATTGCAGCTCCACCAACCTCAACCCCTCCGCGGTCGTGCTTCGAATGGCATGCTATCATTACCCCAGCCTGAAAGCCCCCAAACCATGAAAGAAGGAAGCCACCGACGCAGAATCTTTACCGACAGACACAGACACATCTCCCGAGACGTGGACAATAAGAAGCGGGGGGCTGAAGACGAACGGGAAAGTGAAGCACCACCCAAAACGCGGCATTGGGCAAGAGCGACGGAAGGGCCCCACAGTAGCGTAGGATGAGAGTCCAAGGCCGTTCCTGTTCGATCATTGGGCCAACGTGGCAACGCTCGACCAGAAATGTGAGATTTGACCCACCCCAGCACCCAGCAGCATAATTCTAACATAAACAATTCGAAACCACTTGAAACTCGCTCAACGAAGCCTTGGAATGTTTTGCAGAAAACCAATGCAGCGAGGATCCCCATTACAATCCTGTCCGAACTGCCAACTTTACTGACCATTCAACTGGGGTCACACGAAAACAGCGATCTGGGGGGAGCCTGAGATCGGGTGGGCATTGAAAACAGTGTCGGAGAGGCAACGTCTACCTCTCCGACCTCGTCAGAATCATCTCCACCGCTCCGGTGATCCAGCTCACGGTACTCAGCCGATACCAGTATTCGTCCGCGCGGTGTCGGTACCGAGTGAGGGTTGGATGTGGACCACTGTCCATTCATAATTTAAAATTATGGGACAAACTGTAAAATGTTCAGAAATGTATAGCTGAGTCAGCAATCCGATGGGCATAGCTGGCTGCAAACCAGCAAGGGCATTGACTGCCATGGCCGCATATGGGCAGGCGGTGAGTGGACAAAAGTCGACACCAGGTTTGGAGAGGGAAGCCAACCTGAGCAAGCAAGGATGACAGAAGATGCCGAACAACGCTATCCAAAATCCACAGCAGACACAATGGTACTGGAACACGGCACTAGAAGTCGGAAGGTGGGGGAATGGAACAGTGGGGAGGAAGCAAAAGCGCGTAATCGCGGTGAAAAAGCATGCTGCTCTCTTGGAGTCTCGTTACCTTCGGGCTCGAGACCGTAGACGTGCGCAGCAGAAGGGCACGCGGCAGCTCTCCGCGCCTTTTGTCGGTGTGTGCCTGCAACTGCAACTGCCTAGTGCATGGCATCAATCCTAGTCCATGCGTGCAGGCCAGTAATCGCGTGATGCCCTGACAACCAGCACCGAAAAATGCCAAAGCTGTGGAAGCTGGAGTCCAGTAAGCCTTTTACTGCTGTGCCTTGAAGCACCCACCATGCCAAGGACCTCCCCAACCATGGCCTTCCCCATATATGTACAATAAATGCTCTGGGTGAAATAATATTATGTGTCCATCCATTAAGCACTACCACTTTCTTTTTAGGACGCTTTTCTTCATTCTGTAAAATAACTATTCTCAAAAGCATTCATTGGGTGCTTTTGCATTTTTAATTTTAAGAGACTTCACAATACCAAAAGAAAGCAGTAACAATGGATCAATTTATTAGAAAGAAATTGGGTCATGTGCATTCTTAAGAAATAAATTTATGATGCATTTTCCTCCTTTGATGATCTGTAATGCAAGTATCACACAACATCTCAATCAATGTTTATTAATAAAGTGCACACACACAATTTCTAAAATCACCATCTCAGTAGCTTTGGTCCCTGTCTAAGATTTCACTTCAATTCAATATTGAACATCCACATTTCTTATCTAGAACAAAGAAAGCTTTTTTAGTACACCAATTTAATTCTAATTTGAGTAGTTATAATCTAAATTATTAAAGCTGTCATCTGTTTATTTATTTTATCATATATTCTACCAATTACTCAACATTTAAATCCATACCATCATTCGAAATTCCAGATATATCAAAATCACATCATTTTTTAAAATTTACTAAAACCTTAAAGTTTTATTTCTTAGTCATGTAAGTAGTAATAATAATAATAATAATATATATATATATATATATACATACATACATCTTGGGTCTTCTAAATCCTATATCTTAGTTCAACCATTCAATTTTCTTCATACAATTCAATACTAACATTCTTTGCTATTACTTCTTAATTTTTTTATATAAAAAATTATATTTATTCTTAACTTTTTATAAGTTTTTTTTCTTTAGTCTTTCATAGTATTTACTATAATATCATCAAAACTACATGTTAATTAAATAATATTTTTTATTTTTATTTTTTCTTTCTCTTTTTTATCCTTTAAAGTATCAAACTATGTAAAAGAATAAATTATCATCCTTTAAGCTTTATTGTGTTGTTTTTACTTTAAATTATAAAAAGCAGATCAATACTCATCTTTGTTTGAAATAATTTTATGTTAATACTAGAATATTTTTTAGTATATCCAAGTGTTTCTTAATTTAATACTTGTAGGTCTTTCTTGGCTTAAGAATTATAATCCACACATAGATCAAATGACATGCAATCTACAATAATATTTTCATTAATGAAATCTATTAAATGCTTGCAAAAGATATCAACATATTTCATACTTATGTTTATTGGAGCAAAAGAATTAATAAAAATATTAAGAAAGTATATCTATATTATAATAATAATAATAATAATAATAAACCACCAAAAAACAATCTTGCAAAAGAATAATATTCAACATTTTATTAAAATTTATGGATACTTTATAAAATATAAATAACTATAAATATTTATAAATGTGCAATGATTATCATATCTTGAAAATAATACCAATAAAAAATTTCCACCTATTGTCATAAATATAAAGATATTTTGACTACCAAAGTAAAGCCAAATATTATATTAATATAGATTTTTAAAATCCTACAATTTAATCCTTTTTTTTTTTATTTAACATTAAAATAAGTTAAAATTTATATATGAACCTATCTCCATTGCTCAATCAATGCCACTACATGCCTAATATAAAACTTTGTCTTATTTGAAGCAAAGCTCATTTAGCAACTTATAAACAAAAATTAAAATTTTAATTTAGAAATACAATTCCAATGTATGATTCAAAAGTAAAGAATTTGATTCAAGAAAAAATTAAAATTAAAAAAAAAAAAAAAAAAAAAAAAAGATGATGTAGGAGGGTTTTATCAAGCACACAAAACATTAGATAGTAACAACACATTTGCCTTGGACTAAGTTCTAAGCAAGCTAGACAAATGAAGTACTAGAGTTACAAATAAAATTGCACAACAATCACACAAAAATCTAAGGTGCAAATACATGCAAGAATGGGATGTCAAATCCTAAACAAGAAGAGGAGGTGTAATCACAAGCAAGAAAAATGAGTTGTGGCAAGATAAAAGCAATTGAGGTTGTGTACAAGAGACAAGGAGCAAGGAAATTAAGGGGCCACTAATGCTAGTCAAGCGCCAAGGCTAGCTCACTCAAAGCTAGTTATGTATTGATGCTAGCCACCAAGCTTGCCAAGACTTAGGACTTCAACAAGTATCCAAGAGCGGTAGTACTAAGAGTACAACTAATTTTGGTCTTGCAAAAGACAAGTAGGCTTACTTCTAATAATTGGACTTAAGATTTGGTAATCCTAAATGAGTCATGCTACCTTGTTGGGCCATCACAAAATTGCCTTCAAACTTGAGGATAGACAAAGATGAATTTTTGAAACATATGTTCATTTAAGGGAAATCCAAAGTTTTTTAGGTAGGCTCAAAAATCTTTGGTGTGCTTACATTGGCCATGAGAAAATGACTAGTGCAAATCACAAGGAAGTAGAGTGATGCAACTTACTAGAAAGTACAAGTGCCAAAAGAAAAGAATAAAGTAGAGATTCAAAACTTTCCAAATGCAATGTGGGAGTGCCCTAAATATCAAACTACAAACTACTCTATCTTAGTGACCACCTCAATTAATATACCTAATCGCTCTAGTGTTTGCCTCCTACCCAATATTTTAGAACAAGCAAGCAATAGTGAGGAGATAGAGGATTTTGAAATTTTTATAAGTAAAATTAGAATCAAATACAAATTATTTTTTTATATTGAAACCAATCAAGTTTCTTGTGACATATCTTGTTCAAATAATTACTTGATCTAGAATAATCTAAATAAAGTTTTAAGATTCATTTTCAAGATAAAAGATTCATGAATTTTTTCCAAAACAACCTCTCCAATCCCCACCATCATTCAATGTCCAATCTCCACCACATTCTTCGTACAACAAAGAACTGAAGAGACTACCACTCAAATAAATCACAACCAACAAATATATATATATATATATATATATCCACGGTTTTTCCTCTAAGTGACCAAAATTATCACCAGCACATTACCCTTCAAACAACACACAATTGTACTTGCTTGCTTACAATGCAAGGGGGTGGCAAACAAACAATGAAAGTCAACTCATGTGGCTTAACGAGACAGCCCGAGCCTTGCCTAAGAAAACAGGATCCAACTCACGACACCATTGTTTTAATAATCGAGTGACAAGAGCAATGGACGGTAGTATCATCACAGACTTGCTCGCGGCCAAAAGAAACTTCATCAATGACAAGATGGAAAACGACTCGTCTTGCTCGAATAAAAACTACGACAGCTAATGGCAGAGCCACGCTTCATGGAAAGCAGAAAATGCTAAAACTAGCTGATGCCTTGGATATTCCATGACGAATTCGGGACAATTTTGCTTTGTGGGGCTTGGCAGAACGGCCACTACGATAACACCGCGTCAGCAGCAAGACACCATCAGACACAGCCGTATCATTACCAACTCTACCCCCGGCAGTACACCGAATACCTCTCCGTGGCAAAGCAAAGGGAATCCACACAACTCACAACGTTGAGCACACTAATAACGGCAGCAAGTGGCTGATTATGTGGCTCCCATAAAAGAAATTACAATCAGACGCAAAATTCGCTCGGAAATTCTCCATATATTCTAATTATAAGGAATTTGGCCTCATTTGCGACCCACATACCTCTCTGCCCTAAATCTGCAACTCAAAGCCTCTCGAGGCTGGATTTCCTACTCTTTCCTCTCTTCAGACTAGCATGCATAATGTACCATAGAACAAAACGCAAATGGGCAGAACCGACAGGTGAGAACGAGGTGGATTCTAACAAAGTAGTCGCTCCAAAACTTTACACAGGATCCTTCCTCAAGCAGACCTTGAGGAAATGCTGCTTCCGGCCCTCGTGCTTCCGAAGAACTTTCCGCGACTTACAGAAGATCCGCAACATTAGATGGAAGCTCCTCAATCACAGTGTTGTAGAACCTCTGAATATCCTGGAGCATGCGCTCATCCTCCTTCGTCACAAAATTGATGGCCACTCCCTTACGCCCGAATCGCCCACTGCGACCGATACGGTGAAGGTAATTCTCCGGCTGGGTTGGCAGGTCGTAGTTTATCACCAAAGACACCTGCTGCACATCAATGCCACGCGCCAACAGGTCCGTTGTGATCAACACCCGGGAAGATCCTGAGCGGAACTCACGCATGATGATATCCCGGGTGTTCTGGTCCATGTCTCCGTGAGTAGCCGACACGGTGTGATCACGAGCTGCCCCGCCCACATAAACAACCCATCAACTGTCAGAGAGCATCATCCAAGCAGGATATCATGAGATTTCGCCATCGTCCATATGCGCACACACATTGCCGACCCCAACAACGCGGTCACACCCATGCCCGCCCATGTCCAATCCAATGCTCCACTACACATTTCTAAAACGCAAGATCCGACCTGTCAAACCCCACCACCAAAGGACATCGTTCACCAACAACCAACACGTCATCCGCTGTTGCTTACCGCGCATCTTGTCAGTCAACCAGTCCACCTTCCGGCGGGTGTTGATGAAGATCACACTCTGGGTGATCGCCAAAGTTTCGTACAGGTCGCACAGGGTGTCCAACTTCCACTCCTCGCGGTCTACATTCACGTAGAACTGCTTGATGCCCTCCAGAGTCAATTCGTCTCTCTTCACCAAGATCTTCACCGGCTTGTTCATGAACTTCCTTGTGATCTCGAGGGCTTCAGGAGGCATGGTAGCAGAGAAAACACCCACTTGAAGCTTCTGGGGCAGCAGCTGAAAGATGTCGTAAATCTGCACGTATTGGACATCACTGCAAGTAAGCGGCCTTTTCACCGTAACAGTCACCAACACCCCTATCAAAACAGTGCGACATACTCAGACCACTCAACACAAGCGTCTACCATACACAGAACACCATCCTACAAGCATATCAAGGTCTCAGTCTTCTTGATTTCACAAGGACGAACCGATCCACCCGTTCGGAAAGATAGCACAAATTCTACACATCATTGGCCATCGCACCTAAACCAATGACCCCGTCACCCTCATTCCAGACTGGCTCAAAACAGAGGCACAAACAGACTTGAAAGACGCCCATCCCTGCGTGATGCAATCCCCCTGCTCCAACACCGAACGGAATACCTGATCCTTAAACCCCCGAGAAAGCATCTCATCGGCCTCATCCAGCACAAAGCACTTGATGGAGTCCGCGCGCAGTGCGTTCCTGCGCAACATGTCGTACACACGCCCAGGTGTACCGACCACAACGTGAACACCGGCCTGCAAAATCCTCTGGTCCTCTCTCACACTGGTCCCTCCCACGCACGCGTGTACCTTCACCTGCAGGTAGTCGCCAAGGGCGCGCATCACCTTTTCGATCTGCTGTGCCAACTCGCGGGTGGGTGCCAGCACCAAAGCTTGGCACTCCAAAAGCTGGTAGTCCAACTGCTGCAAGATACCAGAGCAAAATGTCGCGGTCTTGCCTGTGCCGGACTGGGCTTGTTGGATAACATCCAGACCCTTTGTGAAAGGGACAATTCCACGCTGCTGGATGGCGGACGGCTTCTCGAAACCGTAGGCGTATATACCCCTGAGAAGGTTCTCGTGAAGACCCATGACGTCAAACGTCTCGTGGACCTCTTCCCAAGTAGAAATGAAATCATCTCCCTCGCCGCTCAAGCTGAGCTCAAGCAAAAATCGGGTTAGTGGGATTCGAAAGAAACACTCTCATGAAATAGAAAATTCGCCCCCGAAAAATTTAAGATCCAATGCTTTTGGGGAACAGACGACATTGCCCAAGCAAAGTTATCACAGAACGATGTGGTTCATGCAGTCACAGGCCAAGTTCTTAAATGTCAGTAAGCAGTGGTAGCACTGACATATCAAAATGTTGGATCCAAATATGGAGGCTTTAGAAAGTGCATGATGATAATAGCGATGATGGATAGAAACGCTCTTACATATTCTCCATCTTGGCGTCATATTGGCGAGCATCGAACTGAGACCCTTCGGGTGCAGATCCAGCCATACTACTTCGCTGCTGTATTTCAAAGAAACAAAAGCATGGTCAGCTCCGACACCCTGGTAAAACGCTGAATAACACCTATTACAAGAATGTGACAACCTGCGTCAGAACCATGACCGGCCACGAACACATGACCAACAGAGCTGGCGTCTGCAAAAATCGTGGCAGCTTAACATGCTAGCCGCACTCGATCCCTGCAATGCAGCAAACCTTCGATCTAGAGCCTACATGTGCGTGGGGTGATCAAGTTCCAGTACCAAAACAAACAACAGCGTACCATAACCGTATGCTCTGTGGGGTTTCTAAAACGTGGAAGACCCAAAGAGCCTCGAAGATCGACCGTATCTGCTAAACTTTAAAAGGGACTCCGCCAAAACAACAAAGAAACAAACTCCGACGTTGCATTCCTACCCGAGCCCTCATGAGCCTCTCCAAGGAAACGGCTGCTCCGAACACATAAAGCGTACCAAACATCCAAAAATTGATGCCCAAATAGCGTCATGCCCCCGCGATCTCAATCCATCGCTGCACTAATCTCACGGATGTAGTGCAAATGAGAAAGGTTTAGGGGGCGCATCATGTGCGTTTCGATTCGCGCGCACAGCGAGAAGTCGAGAAACCAACCATAGCGGTTGGCGGCCAAGTTCGAAGCACACAAATGCCCCCACTCTAAGCCTCCGCCCAGAGAAACAACGCGAGGACAAGGGCACCCACAGCTCACCCCGAGCACGAACGCAAAAGCAGGCGTAAATGCTCTCGATCCCTAACATTAGACCAAAACCTGATAAATGCATCGCCTCTTGATGCATCCTCTTCAAAAACTTGGTGGCAAATACAAAACTCCAACTCAAAAAAAGTAAAATAAAATAAAAATTGAAGAGCTCCCACAGCGGCCAATCACGTCGTTCCTCCCCAAACACCGCGACCAGCAACACATGTCCACCAAACCACACCTCCCACTCCCTAAAGTGTCACAAAAATCTGTCGCAGCATCGGAGGGGCGGGAGAGAAACCCTAACCTAAAAGATGCAATACACCACCAAACGTGGGGTAAAAGGCTTCACGAGATACAGCACACATAAATGAGAAACAAAGGCAGAAAAATGCAAGACTGCGTTACCGGGCAATTGCGGAGGAAGTGGAAGAGAGAGCGTCAAAGGAAACGAGCGTGACGGCGCTGTCGGGGATTGCAGCCAAGAGGAAGAGCTGACGCTTCTCGTCGCCTCAAGTGGGTAGGACTACTCCCCCATTCCTCCCACTCCTCCCATCCCCCAGCCCCCCCTCGCCCGCTCGAATGCCGGGTGCCCGGGGCCCCCGCCCCTACCACCTCAGTGGGGTGTCACTCTCCTATAGGTTAAAGTAGGATGC